ATAATGATAATGATAATAATAATGATAATAATAATAAATGAAATGAAAACGAGAGAGAGAGAAACAAAACCCAGGCAAAACAAGTGATGCAACCGCTCACCACCTGCTGACAGATGTCCCGCCAGTCCCCAAGCAGCAGTCGCTGCCCCCTGGCCAACTCTCCCCAGCTTATCGTCTGAATTTGGAATATCCATTCTCCAAAACCCCACAATGCCCAAGAAAGCTTGTGTTTTCTTTTTGCTAGTTGCTGGAGACATGGCTCTTATTTTGTTGATCACATCCATTGGGATCTGACAATGTCCATCTTGCCATTTTATACCTAAAAATTTGATCTCCTGCACAGGTCCCTTGACCTTTGATTTATGGCAAAACCATCTTTCAGGAGGATTTGGACTGTTTTCTTCCCTTTCTCAAAAACCTCTTCCGCTGTGTTGCCCCACGCAATGATGTCATCAATGTACTGCAGGTGTTCCAGAGCCTCACCCTGTTCCAGTGCAGTCTGGATAAAGGGTGCGGCTATGGCTCCATCCAAAGGCAGTTGGTTCCAGGTGTACTGGACACCCCTCCAAGTGAAAGCAAACTGTGGCCTGCACTCCGCTGCCAAAGGGACCGAGAAGAATGCATTGGCGATATCAATTGTGGCTTCCCATTTGGCTGCCTTTGACTCCAGAACTTCATACTGAAGTTCTAGGACGTCCAGCACGGCAACACTCAGCAGCAGTGTGACTTCGTTCAGGCCCCGATAGTCTACTGGTAGTCTCCGCTTTCTATTAGACTATCACACTGGCCATATGGGACTGGTAAAGGGTGAGCAAGTCTTGCTGATCACTCCTTGTCTCTCCAGTCGATGAATCAGTTTATGGATAGGAATCAGGGAGTCTTGGCTGGTGCAATATTGCTGCCGGTGCACTGTTGTGGTAGCGATTGGCCCCTGTTATTCTTCGTCCCTCAGCAACCCCACAACAGAAGGGTCCTCTGAAAAACTGGGCAAGGTGGACAGCTGCTTCATTTCCTCTGTCTCCAGGGCAGCTATACCAAAAGCCCACTGGTACCCTTTTGGGTCCTTGAAATACCCTCTCC